CCAGTATTATAGAGACAAAAGGATAATGTAACATAACCATTATATATAGTATCATATATACAGTGAGAATTTTAAGTGTAATTTACAATACTTACATCTTTTTAAAATTTTTTTATTACCACTACCACCACCTCCACGAATGTAATTCCTGAAGTAACTTCACAACATGCAGGAAATGAAATAAACACAGTTATTCCCTTCTGATCTTATGGAGGGAAAAATCTTTTAGGTTTGATTTTAACATAAAAACTTATTATTTAACTTATTGTAACATCGTCTCTATTTTGTCATCAAGTGATGTCCACATAAGTAAATCAAATATGATAAGAGACACGTCGTTTTCATGTTTGTACACTGATCATGTGACTGAAACATAGTTTGAAAGTATGTTATTTAATATAAATGTTGTTATATTACCAGTAAATATGCACATCTAATGTTATTTTCACCCATTTTGTTCAATATAATGCAGCTAAGTGATGGAAAGCAGCGAAATGCATTTATTTAAATCATGTACTGAAGTGCAGATTTGAAGCAGTGGTTCCACTTTACACATCTACTTCACAGTGTCCTTTATTCATCTGATTAATTTTCACGTTTAGCTTTAATAGATGACATATATTTAATAATAAATCACTGTGGAAGGGCCATTCTGCAGCATTAAGAGAACTTGTCCTTTTGATACTTGAAGCAAATTTAGCCAGCAGTGGGGAATATATGACGTAAGTATTTCTACACTCTGCGTTGCTGGCATCTATTCTTAATTAAAATAACATTTTATCACCCACTGAGGTACATTGTGTTGTAAAAATCTGCTGTCTGTCACTCTGTTTCTGATTCAGCTTCAAGTTAAAGTGGTTCTTTCTCATTGTGGACACTAATATTAGCTCCATTCCTCTTGTTCCCAACTTGTACCTCATAAAATTCCACCTAATTATCTTATTTTAAACACACAACTGCCAAACAGAACCTACATCAAACCTAAATCCTGGTCTTTCCTGCTTGTTTCATGCACAGATAACGACTGTGGAGGTGAGATGAGGTCGAGGCCTGGTGACCCGTCAGCATCCTCCTCTGTGGGTTTCCAGGAGGAGACGGTCTCCTCTCGTCTCCAGGTCATGTTGCATCGTCTGTCCTCAAGTGAACCGCTCGGTGCCACTGACTCCACGAGAAAGAGGAACTGCTACTGCTGCCGCTGCTGCTGCTGCTTCCAGATCGGTGAACCACATCCGCCTGCTGCAGCACACATTTCCCCCTAAAAAGCCTTCAACCTGCCCCACAGGGATCTGCTCTGTTAGCCTTTAGCCCTGCTGCAGCTGGTAACCTGAGGCCTGTGGCTCACGATGTCTCCGACTAGTGGGCATGTGTGGGATTAATGCCGCCGTCGGGGGGGAATGGAATGAAAATGATAAGAGATTTAACAGGTTGTTCTGGCGGCTTTCCAGGAAATGAAGAATTCTTCATGAACTGAGCTGTGTCGTCCCACATCCATTTGAAATGCGTAGATTTTAATCATGCTCTGTTAAATGCATCAAGTGCTACTTATGTGACCATATATATGTTAAAAATGCATAAATTAGTTTACTTTTGCTGCTTCTTTGCACACTTTTAATAATAAAAAATGCATAAAATAGGTTCATACGTATACGTTAAAAGCATATTTTTCATTCTGTTGAACTTAACCCAGACTGCTTTGAGGTTTGACAAACAAAAGACATCAGAATTTCCTTCTATGCAAACAGTAGCTTCATTATTTTGGATTTGTGCATGCATAAACCATCTAGGTTTTCTCACCATCTTTTCATTTCCAGTCAGAACTTTGTCCAACTTGTCTTTTATGTGCTGTTTGTTCTGCTGGTTTCTTCATAAATCTTACTGATGCGAAGCGTGACCGCCAAATAAAGACTGCTAACTGTAGGCATTTAGCTTCTGCGCACCACAAAAACTGAGCAAACTTGCAGGATATTAGTTTGTACAACTGTAACCACCTTTAAATGTAAGTTTAAAACTTTTTCTTTTTGCAGACGAAGCCTTAAATACTCATTTTAACGTTGCAATATGTCTCTTTTTTATTTCCTCTCTGTTCTTTTGGTTTGCATCTGAAGGCTTTTGGGTCGTCTTTCTTTTTTTTATTGCTTGTAATTTACACTATAAAGGACTTTAAATTGCCTGAGTAAACTTGCCGTAGCCCTACTGTTCCCAAATGAATACAACCGATCAAAGTTTTTCACAGCATATAGTTGGACTTGTCATAGCAGGGCGCTCCGGCACTTAATGCATCGCAGCGACGCAGTGAACGGTGTTATTAGCTCCGATTGTGTTTGACAGTTTAAAATGTCTGCTGCGAGAAAGGTCAGCTCAACTTGGACAGCACGGGAAGACTCGAATAGCACAAAGAACGATGTAGAAACACAGGAAAAATAAATAAATCTCTGGCAAGAATGTCAAAGAAATAATAAGCGTTCAGATGCAACTATTACACACGGGGGGCAAGAGGGAGTCTATATGTTGTAAGAGCTGGTGGTTGTGCAAAGGAATGTGCAAATATGAAGCTTTTTACCGCACTATCTGCTCAGACATCTGATCTAGACACAAAACATATGAACAGAGAGACAAACAGAATTACGCAGCATTAGAGGAAGAATATACATCAGTGTCAACGAGTGGATATGTACTGTAGTATAATCAGAACAATAAGTATAACAACACATGTTTCACTTCACCGGACCCTGAAGCTGGCCTGAGGCATCAGCTAATTACATGGCTGCTTAGGGCCCCACAACCACCAGGGGGCCCATAAACGAGGCAAATTAAAAATAGGAAGTCTCCTCGGGTTCCTGTGTGCGTTTTGTCATCATTTAACTTTACTTTGTATTTGTCATACTGGAGCATTAATGCACTTTTCAAAAGCAGACTGTGTTTTATCAACATGGTTTTATTGTTATTCTAATTGCAGGTAACTGTAAATATGCAGAGATCATTTAGAAACATAAAAGCTTTATCTAAAGGCTTGCATGCTTGTTTGGTGTGCACTTTTTCAGCTTTAAACTGCAAAAATGATCTTGCATTCTTAAGTATACTGCATTAGAAATACTGCTGGTTCTGCCTCTCAGTGTAATATGGCATTATCATTGGACAATATGTAAAGTTCTCTTTTCATGTATTTGACTTTGTTGCGCATCTATGCAATGCATATGAAGAAAGTGAGGCCATAAATATTCCTTCAGATCCAAATCTACCCAGAACTGGTCAGTCCTGGCCTGCAGAGGAGCATCTTATCATGGATCAAGTCGTGCATGGATTCAGTGAGGACCAGTGGTGAACATGAGGTTCATTTTTGCCCCAAAGTCACAGCAAAGAGGCAGAACAGAGCAGCAGCTACTTAGGGGACATCTGGGTCATTAAAATGTCCCTCCAGCCAAACATTACACTGTAAAAAAAAAAAATGTTTTAACTGTACATTTTTTGAGCATTTTACTGGTATTTTATAGATTTTCTGTGTTTTGTTGAATTATCGGTAGCACCTCATAAAATCACAGAAAAAAATGGATGAAAATTTAACGCCATGTAAATGTTCATGTAAAACTGTTACGTCCACATCAAAAATATGCATTTTTACAGAAAGTAATTTCACAATGTTTAACTGCAAAGTAATACCATTTTACTGCATTTAAATCAATCAAAGATATAATTATTTTATAGATGTATGCTGTTATTAAAAAGAACAAACAAACAAAAAACATTAAAGATGAGAAATTATAGGAAATGACAGATAATAATTTTACAATATTTAACTCAAACTGTAAAATTACACCAATTAACCTCATTTAAACCAACCCAAAATATCATTATTTTACATACATATATGATGTTATAAAAACTAAAAAAAAAAAAAAGTATATTAATGAAGAAAAGGGTAAATAAAAAATATATAATTTTACAGTTTTTCACAGTTTTGTTAAATTACAGAAAATAACTTAGAAAATCATACAAAATGTGTATAAATACAATAAAACTGAAAAACTGGCAACATTTAAATGACGTTCACATCAAAAATCTTTTTCATAGATAGTCATTTTATTATTTTTAACAATAGCTGTAAAATCATACAATTATACTGCATTTAAACAATCTGAAAGTGTCATTATTTAATAGATTCACATCATTATTTGACGGGAAAAAATTATGTTGTATTATTTTAAAAAAATTTTCAACATAAGTTTTGTCAAATAATAGATAGTAACTTAAAACATACAATCAATCAACAAAAAATTATAAAAAATATTAGACAGTGTTCCACCGTTGTTTTTTTTACAGTATAATTAGTAAACAGTAACATGTACAATTTTTTTAAAGAAGGATGCAAGTGTTGCAAGTTAATAGACAATAAGTTACAAGACAAATAGGGAGGTTATAAAATATTTTTTAAAAAATGTGCTGATTAATTACCTGAGAATGTGCAAGATTACATGTAAAAAACTTGAAATGTGCCAAAGATAGATAGATAGATAGATATTACATGTAAGAAAAATAAGTTGCAAATCAGTAGAAGAACAAAGTCAAGGTGCAAAAAAAAAAAAAAAACAGCAACAACAAAAAAGTGCTAGTAGATTTTTTAAAAGTATAAATAAGTATAACATAAACGTAGGTAGGCAGACGTTGTAGTCCTGTGTGTGGGCATACAGCTGTAGGTTATGTTCATATGTGTTGATATAATTTGGATTTAAAACCTGAGGTCAAAGTTCAGAGTCCCGACAGTCTCCATGTGTTCACCTTAATGATCACATCAAATTAAAATGTAGACTTCTGCAAATTTACAAATAACGACACCGCCCCTTTTCAGTGCATAGCGTGTGTGCTGTGTGTGTGTGTGTCCGTGTGTGTCTATGTGCGTGTGTGCGCATGCCTGCAGCCGGCTCTCTCTAGGACCCGGGAGCAGCCGGCAGAGCGTCTGCAGGCCCCTGCAGTGAGAGCGGCGCATCTGGAGGAGAGCTGGCCGGCTGGGGAGGTGGAGGACGGGGAGAGAAGAGGAAGGAGGCTCCGGGAGCAAGCGAGACAAAAAGGGTCAGGCCTGGGACTTGGGAAAAATCGGGTAACGAAACACACAGCGATTCACAGCGTTTCAATCCGTTTAACCCGGCACCAGAAAGCGCGCAGGAAGGGTAACCTTTATGTGAACAAAAAGAGCCCCGAGAGCGGAAGGCGCTCGATGGAAACGGGGAAATAGCGATTTAGATAGAGAGGGGTTTGCTTTTTTTTTCTACTTCTTTTTTTTTTTTTTCTTTCCTCTCTTTTCGTGCAGATGTGCTGATTGGAGATGTGACCGAATTTCACGAATCCGGGCGTCGCGGCTCCTTAAAAAAAAAAAAAAAAAAAAAAAAAAAGACACACCGGCCTCATTAAAAGAAATAACGGGGGTTTATCCTTGAGTGGCCGTGGCCTGTTAAAAAAAAAAAAAAAAGAGCCTCAATCCCCCGGGTTATGTTGCAGGCTGCCCCCGCTGCTGCTGCTGCTGCAAAAGACGCCGAAAACTTTGCCATTTTTACGCGCAGCCGGTGGATTAATACACGCATGTCAGCCGATCGCATGTAATGTGGAAGCGTGTGGCCTGATCGTGGGCTCATCTGCAGGGAAATGCGGTGACACTGAACGCCTGTGTGGCCCTATAATAAATTATTTTCTCAAGATAACACGTTCTGGTTGTTGCCTGCAATTATTTTTCACGACAGAAGATTAATCAGACTGTCATCAATCCTGACTCCACACTTAGAGGACATTAAACTCACCCTGTGTGAATATATGTATGTGTGTATATCTATTATATATATATATGACTGTGTGTGTGTGAGTGTGTGTGTGTATAATCTCGTTGGTTTTGCACATTTCCACGAGTGCAACAGTAAGTGTGGCTGCCCTCTGTGCGCATGGCAGACCGCTGGAGTAACTTTAACCCAGACACTTGAGGTGAAAATGAAATATTAATGGATTTTATGTGAAAAAAAATCCAACATCATAAGCATGCTGTGTGTGTTTTTGCAGCTTGCAATGTGGATTTCTGCACAACCACACATGCATGTGGTGTAAAATGGGCCTGTAGGCTATAGTAGCCATACAGTATCTATAGAAGCCTCCTGTGTGGATCCTATAGCTGCATGACGTGCACTCCACAAAGAAGAAAGCTGAGAGCAAAACAAGATGATTTTTAAAGGGAATGTGCACAAAATATGTGAAGGTTGCCCGAAACTGCGCTGAAACTAATGTGAGGGATCTGATTGTTGCTTTTTCTCTTCACCTGGCAGGAGTGCAGAGAGAAGAGGGATCATCTCTCATTTCTTTATTTTTTATTTTCATTTTTGAGTTTATTATTTCCGCCCGCCATCATCAGACCATCATCACCCTCAAGCAACCCTAAGAATCTCAGCGATGCCGTCCAACACTGTCACCAACGCCAACACCGCCGCATTCAAAGGCTCAGACTTCACTGATTCACCCGGAAACAGAATGGTAAGAAACACACCTGATGAACTTAGTCATGTTGGTGACTCAAGATTTCTCCCTTCATGACTGATTTGGATTTGCACTGCAAGAGGCTGATTTGTCTTCCTGTGTTTCCCCCCAAAATATCTGCAGCATAAAAAGCATGTGTGTGCGTGGATGAGCATGTGTACGTGGGGGTAATTTTAGGTCAAATTACAGTTTTCATAGCCTTATTGCTGTAATATTACACGGATAGAGCTTTGCAATTAGAGGAATGTGGTTTATGGTTTTGCACAGTCACTTCAGGGCCAAAACCAATTAAAATCTTAGCTCAGTTTTCTGAATGGAGTTAATCAGTCAGTCTGATCTCTTCAAGCCAACTGGAGCAGACTTGGGTTTTTGCATTGATGACTCCTGTTTTTTTTTTTTTTTGAGGGGGGAAGAAATATTCAAATCGTCATTGAGGAATCCGGCATGTGGAGCGCCGTGTCACCTCTCACGCTGCAGACAGACTCGTAATTAGAGCGGATCTGCAGCATCACCTCGGCAGCATCAGTGAGGAGGCTGCTGCTGCTGCTGCTGCTGCTGCTGCTGAGAGGTGCAGCTGTATTATGTGACATTTTGCTGTTGTAATGTTGCTTGGTGACGTGGGCGTTGGCTGGTGTAGGTTGAGTTGGAACTGGAATGGCTCTCCAGCTCTTTTTACTGGAGGGTGGGAGAGAGAGAGAGGGGGGGGGATATCTGTCCTCTTCCTCTACGTTCCCATTACACAGTACTGCCCTTAGTCTTGTTGCCTGGCAACAGACATTGCCTTAAATAACCGACTACCCAGACGGAAATAGTGCGGAGATATTGACAGTGTGGTAGGGTTCACTCCAGGCAACAACAAATCATATTACGGGCCTTTTTTCTCTTGTTTTTTTTTTTTTTCTTTCCTACCTCAGAAAACGTGAGGGTGAAGCTGTGTGTGAAAATGGTGTGTTGTTATTTCCCTCTCCGAGCTCTCTGATTGGGGTTTTGGAGGAGCGGTGTTGGCGGTGGGGCTGCTCCGGCAGCGATAGCCAGGCACCGCTGAATTGTGTCATCCATGTAAGTGCTTCCCAAATGAGGCTGCACACCAGGCTGCACTCAAAACGTGCTATTATCTATGCAAATTTTGCCACCCTGGTAAGGAAAAAGCCGAAGCACCAGGCACTCTATTAGCGATGGCACAATGAAGGGGAGCCATCTGCAAGGCACTTCCATCACAAAAGCATTGATATCTACATTTTCAATAACCTTTCCAAAGGCCCGTCGATAACCTTCATTGATGAATATTTTCTTGTGCTTTTTTTTTTTTTTTAACACAGATTTTACACCCATTTTTTACCAGTTCTAACCCTCTGCCCATTAATCACAGCACCAGCTACTCTGATCACATCCATTTCTTTATGTAAATGAGTTTATCCCCCTGGGACACTAATGGTTGATGGATTTATTCCATTTTAGCATCAAACACTCTCAGGACGTAACATGGCCTGACATTTGAAATTACTGCCTGTGTTCATTAACGCCCTTGACCTTTTAAATTATTAAGCAACAGTCTATTTAAGACATTTTTACGACATTTTTTTTGTGTTTTCTGATTTGTAAACTGCACAGGGGGAAGCGCTGAAATGTTTCACTGACTTTCTTGTTCGTGTTACACTTTATTTTGCAACGATGTATTACTCCAGTTGGCCAATATTTGATTAGTTCAGAATCTGATGGGTCACAGATTTCAGTTTTAACGACTGAACCAAACACAGAATCTATTGTTCCGTGTTAAAGATGCTCTCCCCAAACTTTTTTGGCCAAACCACAAGATCTATTGAATTGGAGTTCTGAAGCGTTTAAACAAACAAAAAAAAAAAACATCATGTCACAAGATCCTTTGCAATTTACCCAGCTGTCACAAAAGTCCCATTTTCTGAGCAATTGAAGGACTTATTTTTCCATTTTGGTTTGACATATGAGGTTTATTCTTGACCGTGGAAGCAGCAGCCAAGAAAAAAACATCTCACACTGAGGCCTCTTCAGTAGCTGTTCTGGTGCTTTTTCCTTTTTAAAAAAAAAATTAAAAAAAATCACATGATCTCCATGAGGAGATGGACTTGCCCAAAGTGTTGAGAGAAAAGTGGACAAAGTGCTCTGAATGTGCCGATGAAGATCATTCGATAGAACCAGCGACTAAGTGGACATATACGATCTCTCAGCTGCTGCTTTCATATAATTTGATCCTCAGCTTAAATAACGGCTTTAAATGTAAATTTCATGTAACATCCGAGTGCAGAACTAATAGAGATGCCTCAAGGGATGGATTTACATGCACCACTTATATCATGTTAAAATACAGTAAGATTTAGGGGTGGGAGTGACTCACATCACGATATCATCACGATGTGTTGCAGAGGATATCGATTACATCATGATGCAGCGATTCTGCAACACTCACAAGACATCATCTGTCATACATTATGGTATGTGTGTCACAAAAATATTTAAAAATGCTGCTAAAAAAGCAAAAAGCAGGAATTATGTATTGATTTATTGCACTGTAGTGTGTCCACTATTGTTAATATTCAATTTTAATCGTGCAAAATTAAATTATTTGGCTCCCCGTTCGTCGTTTTTCCACTTCTTCACTGAAAGCTAGTTAACTTCTGTTCACTTAATGTTGTGACTCTGGGCGATCTAGTGTACTGATAGCTTCCATATCAATATTTTGTCCCTCTGCAGACAGAACGGACACTCAAATGTGGTTGTAATTTGACATTTATGTTTCCAGTTAATTTTAAAATAATGTTTTTAACTCCAGATGTGCACAGTAGAGAGTTGTCCCTCTTGTGTTCTTCTCAAAAGTGAAATCCGAGATGTTTACTCGACTTTCTCTCTGTAATTCAGCCACTGAATCGTCATTCTGTATTTAGGTTCACCCATTACGTAAAGACAAAGTCACGTAGTATCTTACGGTAATCTTTTCCAGCGTGCCTTCGCTTAAAATAAATGCACTTCCCAACACGTCAGCAGAGGGACCGGGTTGCAGAATGCCTTTCGGCGCAGAGAGCCCATTTATCTTCGAGGGAATCTCACATTCAATACTGAAGGAATTTAATAAGGACCTCTCCCTCCACCCCCCACTGCAGCTGTCAGGAATGGCCTTGCAGCCTCATTTGCATTCAAACCTGGTGCTGGTGGTCCTATTCAGTCAATATTGAAACTCAAAGCATCTACATTAGGATCATCTTTTCTCCCATCAACCCCAGGGGTACTTGGTGGCGGCGGACATGGGGCTTTGTTGGCGGGGGTAGACAGTTTTATTAATCAAAGGGAAATTGCAGCAGGGGAAGGTGGGGGCCGGTCAACGTCTTTGTAACGGTGTCAAGAGGGGATTGTCTGTGGAAGGTCAGCGCTGCGTCCGCAGAGCTTTCACTTCAGCCTAGTTCAAAGGAACGTGTCATTCAATTTCTATCTGTCTCATTGTCCACTCAGCCAAAGACACTCAAGGACTTGCTGCAGTTCCTCCTAAACGTTCAAGTGTTTTGCTGTGCTGCACTTTTGTGTGTGTCCTGCAGATCCGCCGTCACCGTTAGTTGAGGTGAAACTGCCACTTAGAGCTTAACTGTACGCACAGAAGCAATCACTCATAACCTTAAAAGATGCGTCATCTTGTGCGCTTCTAAAAGCAAACTTGACATCTCCAAAGATAAAGATGCTGTTACTTAAATAATTGCAGGATAAATCACGGTTTGCTCTTTTTTTCCCCCTGACAGGGTGAGAGCACAATACTGGACATGGACCTGATGGCAGAGGAGAAGTCGACTCCAAGCAGTGCCTCTTATAAAGTTGGCAAGCCCGGAAGAAAGCGCAAGCAGTTTGCAGTGAGTGTTGAGCCCACATGTCTGCATAAACTACACCCGTCCACCCATGGATGTTTGTTTTATTGGGATTTTCTATCAGTTTTCCAGTATATTGGCTCAATATTGCTCACCGTCCAGGTTAGATTGAGCTCGTCCTTGAGCGGAGCAGCACAAAAGGAATCTGTAAAACTGCATATTTGCTTTAATAATTTACGAGGTGTGTCAGAAAACTTCCAGGACTGGTGTCACAAAAGATAGATTTCAAATCCAAACTACAAACTACAAATTTTCCCCTTCGAAGTAATGCCCCTGGAGTCTAGCACACTTTCCCAGCCTTCTCTGCCACGCCGCCATCACTCCTGGAAGGATTCTTCCGGGATCCTCTGCAGCGCCGTCATCACAGCCATCTTGATGTTGTCCATGTCTTCAAAACGGGTCCCCTTGATGACCCCCTTGGGCTTGGGGAAGAGGAAACAATCCCACGGAACCAGGTGGGGTGAGTAGGGAGGTTGAGCAGGCGTGTTGTCATGGTGAAGCAGCCATGACTTGTCCGGCCACAACTCTCATCTCTTCTCACGCACTGAACGAAGCAAACACCGCAGGATCGCTTTGGAGATGTGGTGGTTGATCGTCTGAAGGGTAAAACTTGTTGTTCGGTAGTTTGGGTTTGAAATCTATCTGTTGTGACACCAAACTTTTCTGATACACCTCGTAGTTCAGTAAAGTTTTTTGGGGGTAAAATGATCCCAAAATTCCCAAAGTTTCCATGTTATTTAATAAGCAGAGTGGGTCAACACCCTTTGAGGAACTTCCAGACTTTGCAAAGCCTGACCTAAATGTTCCAGTGCAGTTAAACTTGCATGGCGGCTTGAACCTTTGTGTGCAAGAAACGCTCCTGTAGAACCTCTATTAGGACCATTTTCTGGGGACAAAATCAAACTACCTACTCCAAGCTACCTGGAAAAATTGCAGCTAGAGGTTTAATGCAGATTAGTTAAGTCGGAAAAAGACAGCAAGCACCATTTTTCTCCTCTCTGACATCACCATCAACAATGTAAAATTCACCACATAAGCTAATATGACAAACCTTTTGGCTCTGTTGCTACATTGCTCTACTTCCTACGTATTCATAGAACTGGCTTTACGTCCACTAATTATCAGTTGTTGTTAGCTATCAGATTCCAACCCCGCAATGGAAACAGAAAGTTCCTATAAACGCTTGCGCCTGCCTTGAGTTCCTGCAGTGGAAAACATCAGCTCGTTGCCTTCAGCGCTCAAAGATGCGACATCCATGGTTTCAATTTCTGCCACCTCTCACCAAATGTCAACTAAAAAACAAAAAGCAGATCTCAGAACACAGAAGAACTGCCTCAAACAATGAGCTACTCAATCAACCACGCGACTGAACGCAAGGATAAAAATCTTCCTGCATTTAATGACTCAATTAGAGGGATAATCCTGGAAGGTTAAAAAGGAGGGAGAAGTTGAACGTCTGGCTCCCTTTTCCGTCTCCGCACAGCTGGACAATCGCGGTGATTCTTGTCGGTTGGCAGCTCTCTATCTTTAGCGTTTGGATCACTGAACAAATAAGGGCAGCGATTCAGAGGTCTCCAACCAGGCTGAAACTTCCCCAAAACTGATGCTCATTTCACACAGCGACTGGTTAAATCAGCGATAGGGGAGACTCTTTATCAGTGTTTGAGTCATTATCACGTTTCCTCCCTTTCTGAGGCAGAAGGGTTTCTTGCTCCGGCCTTTTGAAGCAGCTCTTCTGCTGCATGATAAACTGTTGTAGAGCATATCATGACCTCAAGCGTCCCGTCGGGGGTGTGATGTTAGTTCAGAGGCTTTGATTAGTAAAATATAAAAACAGTAAAATGAGATAAAACGTGCTCAACTCAATATACGATCAAACCTGAGTCCTGGATGCTAAGTTTCCACACGGGGCAGTTTAATCAGCTTGGAGAGCAATTCTTGTTTTTCTTTTTCTTTCAATTTTCTGCTAAATTTGCGCAACAGTCTGTTTTTTTTAATTCGACTATGAACATTTTCCCAGGCGCCACCTATGCACAGCCTCAATATCAAAACCAAGGTGTTGTTTCTGCCTCCTGAGTACTTATTTGTTGCTCATGAATAAACATGACGCGGTCTCCACCACGTTTCCTCGGATAGACGCTACACCCTCACCATTTGTAATCTGTTTGTGATGTCTTTTGTAGTTAAAAGCCCTGATTTAATAATGACTCTCGGGCCAGCGTGTATCTGGGTGTTGTGTTTTCTTTTCTTCCCCTCCCTGAGATGTTATCATTTGCATAAGCCTCCGCTAAAATTCGTGTTAATTAACTCTCACAGTGTGATCCGACAAACCGAAAAACAGGATTAGAGAAATATTTACAGATAATATACAGTTGGGAGGGATTCGCCGGAGGGGCCGCGTCAGTGTATTCGAAGCAGCTGAGGGGTTGTATCAATAACTGATAAAGAGAAGCTACACGGAGAATCAGGGCGCCTTCGGGGAGTGTTTTCACAGCTGTGGGGGATCGACTGCACGGACCAGACAGACGCTGCAGTCACAGAGGTGTTCGCTGATGCTTCTGGTGTTCTTCTTCTGAAGGAGACAGGCACTGCAACGTGGAGCAGTCAAGTTGAAGTGCATTCAGCGGGAGTTTTTCTTTTTAGATTTTTGCTTTAAAGAGTATTACGTGGAGTAGTTGTTTGGATTTTTCTTTGTTTGTGCTCATTGTCAGATGTTACGAAAGATGGTAAAGGAAGAACATCACCGTCTTGTTACATCATGAGTCCGTTGTCTACTGTCTTTTCTCTGACGTTAGGAATAAAGGGAGTCGACTGAGGACTTACAGATGAATTCATTTTAAAAAAAGGACAGAAATATATGAACCCCACCTAGAGGAGCATTCGCTCATGGGACATTTTTACTCACTGTGGGCTCATTTTACACGACAATATAAAGTCCTGCACCACCAAAAATGTCACTTACAGTGTCATACATCACAAAACCCCCACAAAAGTTGCATTTCTGGACAAACTCTACTATCAGCATTTTTCCATCTGCTGACAGGTGTTACCAACACTTGAAGGATGACTCTACATACTGTAGATATTTGACTAATTACATTTTTGATTTATTCCCATACTTGTCTCCTTGCTGTTCTGAAAAGTCCCTGAATTTTTTGTCACCTGACATCTGAGCCACTGAAGGCGTCACGGTTGGTCCGAGGGGCGCACAATTTTTTTTTCTCCTCAGAATCTGCTGAGAGCAAACTGTTTTTGGCAGTTTTTTTTTAAATTTTAAGTTTAAATTTGGAAAGATGAGAGAGATGAGTAGTTCAAGGACCATCGGACACTTGAAAATCCAACTATCCTTTCAGTTTTCACAGTTTCTCGGCTGATAAATGATGACGTTCTGGCAATTCTTGAAAAATGCTTTTCCTTTCAGAGGGTTGAAGGAATAGTACGTAATTTTTGGAATTACACTTATTCTTTTCAGGAGTTAATTTAACAGATTGATATCACTCTCATAGCTAAGTGAATATTACGCCGTGGCCATCAGCCTGTTTACTCACCTTATCATAAAAACTCAAAAAGTTCCCCCACACAAACACAAAGTGCTGCGTGTGCACGTCATGGTCTTTGGTTTTAGTTTGTTTCCTGTTTTATTTTCAACTTTTCTGTCCCCGTGAGTCTGGAGTCGTTCGACTTCCTTCCTTTGTGCGTTTTTGGCTCTGCTCTGATCTGTCCAACCTGAGTCTCATCAACCCATCAGCTGCTGCGTACATGTAGTCCTGTTTCCTTCTCTTTTAGTCGCCACTTCATTTGCCCACCTGTCCTCCACCATGTTCACCTTCCTGAGTTCTTTCTTTTGGTTTGTGCAGCTACTTTTTTTGAACCTTTTTGTGTTCCTGGGTTTGTTTTTTTTCTGTTTACTCCCCATGCTTTTGTTGCCCTTTTGGATTTTTGATTTGTGTTTTTTTCTGGCTCCTTGTGTTGTGTTGTGTTCCTTCTGGTTACTTTTTGATCTGAGCAGCGAACTCTGAAGCGACATTAATGAGTTAGCGAGGCATGTTGAGCTTTCCCTGGAATGGAGGAGGCTCTCTTTTGATCTGCTAGATCACTTTGGTAACTTCTGCTGCACAGCTGTTCAGAGGTTGGGATTTTGGAGCAGCTCTCTGAGTGATGCAGCTTCTCCGCTGAGGGAATTTGTTATATCTGGAAACCTGTTGAGCTGTAGATTAGTAAAGCCACTGACAGCGTTGTGCACTGACTACATTGTGCTCTCATGAGAATCTACATACATTCAGTTGGAGATGCAGAAAATGAATTCTCGTGTTTCACGCATGGCCTCGATTTTGCTGCTGAATCCATTTTACACTGCAGATTATTAGAAAACTGATCAGTGTATTGGTATTTATCTCTGAATATTCAATCAATAAACTTGATTTCACTTCAATTTGGCTACAAAACTACAGAGATTTCCACCTTTCCTTCATTGTGAGACCGTGTCAGACCTAAATGCACTTTCTGAGGATCATATTTAAATGTATGAAGTTAAAACCTTCAGTGTGCAGCTGTCACGTCAGACATAAGCAGCTGCATAAACAGTTTTCTACCAGCATTCCTCTCTTGTGTCACTCGTAATGTTTTTTTTTTTTTTACATTCTTCTATGCTCTCCATTATAACAACCTTTTCCTCTTGAATAAAGTGGGCGGCAGTCAATCGGTCCTTTTTGTGTGGGTCCACATTCGATATCGCAGTAACAATGCGCTCTGTATGGTTTAAGCTTGTAGGCGGATTTTGGTCAGAGTCAGTTCAGGGGTTTCCCCTTGTTTCCAGTGTTTGTGCTAAGCTAAGCTAGCCAGCTGTAGCTTCATGTTTATTGTGCAGACATGAGTAGGATCAGTCCCATCTCCTGAATACATATGATTCAAAGAAACTGAACTATTACACTCAACACAACATGCACAAAGTGACAAACTCTTCAAGATGTTTAATGTGAAAAATGTGAACAATTCCCATCCAAACAACATCTTTAAAATTTAAACCAGTGTTTCGCAACCCAAAGATATTTAGTTTATCATCACTTAAGAAAAAGCAGTAAATGCCTGCAATCTGGTGGTGTTTGTCATTTACTTAAACAGTAACTATATGAATCATTTATCGTAATAATTGTGGATTATTTTGTCAGTCAATGTAATGAATCATCAGCTGACATTTTCACATCTGAATTCAGTGTGTCATGTCTTCATACACTACACTGAACCAACCTGCGTACAGCGTCTCAATAAATATGCAGAAATGTGTATTTTTACACTACAAAGATTAGTTTATCCATCCTACACTCTGTGAAATAGTATTTGGCCTTTGCTGCAGCTTCTAAATAAACAATATTGAGTTTGAGGAATTCACTTCTCCTCTAGAATTAAAGGTATTTTTTAATCTTAACTGTCTGGAATAGTCCAGGCATGTTAACAAGGTAGGAGGATGTAAAATGAAGTCGATTTCATGAAGTTATCTCGACTTGAATTTAGTTTTAAATCAACTAATGCAGAAATTTGAGTTTAATATACACATAATATGAAGTTGATGTAATTACCAACATTATTATGTCAACAAAACCGATCGAAATGTCACTCAAATGAGATCTCATTCTCAATCATGCATTTAGCCGAGTGGTGTGAATAAGTCCCTCGGATTACTTTTTAGACTGTATTATCTGTTGCTGTGTGAGTGTAATCCTGCAGCAGTAAGTTGGATTAGCTAGTTAGTGTTTTGTTTTTGACCTCTGTCTGCCTCCATGAGCCTGGCTGATTTACCAACCGTGACCTCTGACCTCTGGCTGGGGCCACATGTAGTTCACCAGGCCACTAATCTGTTACGTAATTCACTCAGCGACAGTCGTGTGTGTGTGTGTGTGTGTGTGTGTTGACTTTCTGTTTGTGCCTGCTTACTGTTGTGTGTGTAATTTGTCTAAACTCCCACACACACTCTGAAGCCTCTTTCCCTGCTTATGAACTGAGTCGGAATATTAATAACGTCTGAGCTGTGGGTTTGTTGTTTTCATTCATCGTGTCAAACACGTTTACTGGAGAGCCGTTCTTTGTACGAGTGCAATTGTTCAGTTTACAGTTAATTTGCTCTCCGTTACTACAGCCATGGAGTCGTTTAGAGCCGTGCGGCCTGCGAAGAATGCTTTAAAGCAAACTTTGGCTCGACGCAGCCTTGTTTTACGACACACGGCGTTTATTTTGCATGTCTGTTCCGCGTCATTTGCATCGCATCAATTACGCGGAATTGTTTTAGGTCTCTGGCTCCCATTAAGGCCACGTTTACGTTGTGTTTGTCTATTCAATCTGCGAGAATCAGATTACGTTTGACCTTTTTAGCTTCTAGCGCCGGATCTCGTGTTTGCTAAATATCGTCTGTTGACAGACAGATGCCTCCCGAGGCGCTGCCGCCGCTGCCTGCCTTTAAATGCAAACCGCTGTACCTACATCTACAGATGAAAGCCTCGGCGCCGCTCTCATCAGCGCTGACAGTCTGATCTCACAAGACATGCTCCACTTTCTGCTCCCAGTGACCCTGTGAAGGGATTGTCTGACAAACTGTGTTTTTTTTAAGGCTATTTTTAGGCAGCAGCAGAGACACTTTCGCTTTTCTTCAAACACGTAAGAGTTTAAATGAATCTTTTCTAGGGTTTTTTTTTTGTCTTCGGGGTAAAAACTGAAGCTTGAAGTCAGCTTCAAACAGGTCAGCTCGCGTAGAATGAAATAGTTGAACTGGGCGTTCCAAACTGGCCGGAGAGAGAAACGTCTTTGTTGTCAAACGGCCAACATTCTCGACATATTTCCGTGCTGCTGTAATGACGAATGCACGACTACAGGAAGCTCACCCGTGTACCTGATGAACTATAATGTAATCCCTTCCTCACTCGCAAGTAATGGCTGTGCAGCAGATTTACTGGCACGGCTTTGAAGTTTACAACTCTGGTTTAACAGAGCTGGATCGGAAATGCCATAATTCACTGGCTAATAAGTGCAGAGTTGAGCTACGCGTTTGATTCTGTCCAGATAGAGCCGAGGAGGGCTTAAGAGATGAAATTAAGCTTGTCTAATATGAAATGGATGAACGCTTTAACTCACATTTTCTTAGGAATCGACCGTTTAGCCGACAGAGACTGAAAAGTGCTTATCCTGGCGGAGATAGTGCCAACTGTTTTAACGCCGCTCGCTCACATGACCTTTTTTCTCAAGCGCGCTGGATGATTTGTTGTAAATCCTGAAAGGTTTTTGTTTAACTCACAGCCAGCTACAGTATATCCAGTGATGTGTCATAACTGCTGGCAGGCAAAACGCTGTTGTACACCTTCAAAACATCAAACTGTAACATACTGCTTCGGCAATAACAATCTTAAAGGCTGATAGATTGCCAGGATGTTAACATTTCCACCTCTTCTTCTTCTTCCTCCTCCTCCTCCTCTGCCTGCAGGTGGAGAGCTGCGGCTCTCTCAGAGACAGTGTGGGCAACAGCTACGCCGGAGTGGGGAGGCCGTCCATGGCACAGATCCACAACGGAGACATGGGCGGGCACAGAGACAGGATGTCCGATGCCTGCTTCCCCAAACAGGAGAAGAGGGAAGTGGAGAACGGGATCCCCAGAGAGCCTTCCTCCTGCCGGGCAGAGGACAGCTCCCAGGGCCGGAGCCTGAGTCCTTCCCAGGAGAACGGATTCCTGCCCAGCCGGGAAGAGCAGGACTCGGAGAAAGAGAAGGACGAGAGCCTGATGACGCCGCGCAAGAAAAGAGGGAGGCGGAAACTGGAGCGTCCAACGAAATGTGAGTGTTTTTTTTCTTTCTTTTTTTGGGGGCTTCTGGTTGTTGAGCTTCGCTATCTTTTGATCAGCCCTCTGTGGATCCAGCAGGAACAGTCACATGCACGTTAGTAGTACAAGATGTTGAGTAATGAACTGTAAATGGATGTCAGACTGAGTGGGTGCGTGCAGATCCACACTCGGAGCGCGGGACCGACGCTGCCAAGATTAGTAACACCGAGGCTAAAAGTGTCGCATTCAGGCTGCCGCACAGAGAAAAGAGAGGGAAGTACGAATATGAAATCTGCGGGGAGAATCAGATCATTACGACGCCGCTGTTAATATTTACACGAGACACATCACACAGAATGTTACGCATGTTATATTTCTCATCCGCCCAGCGCCTGTGTGGTCTAACAAATGCTTTCAATATGCACGAGCAGTTGACATTTAAATCCTCATCGTGCACCATGTGACTCAAATTTATAAGGAACAGGCAGCTGCAATGAGAAACAGAGAGGAGAGCCCGACGTATAATCTGTGAAGTAGTGTAGTGATGTCGTTTGGCTGCGTGTTTAATGCAGCCATCTCTCCTCCTTCTGCTATCTGTGTGTTTTCAAAATCCCCTTTGGGAGACAAGAACCTCCAGGCAGCAATCTGCACACTTAAAATAGAAAGTTTAGGGGAATGTTTGGATCGTGCAACAAACCAAACCTGCATTAGCTCTTTCGGTCAGTAGTTGTAGTAGAGATCTAAAAAAACTGTTGATAGCATTCACTGTCTAATGGATGCTTTTGCATGTTTGTCTGAACAATACATGGAAAAAGCTACAAACTTATAGCCACATGTGTCGCTTCATCCTAGATTCGGCGTCACCAAAGACGATTGTGATTGGTTTAAAGGAATACAAACAAGCCAGAGTGGGTTTTTTCTTTCCCTTCCTACAGCAGAATGACAATGAGGTGCAACCAGACCGTTCTCCAGCGTTGTGGAAAAAAATGTTTGGCTATGCGAGACCAAGTCATATATAATAAACTTTATTGTTCACACAGATCGTCCTGGAGTCATCCAGCACTTCATTCAAACATCAAAACACTCGAATCGGCAGCAGCTCTGACAGCACGACTTCTCAAAGTAATCCCAAAGAAGTCGTTTATCAGTGAACAAAACATTGATTGGCTGCAACTTTGACAAACTGCTAATAAATTAAGTTTTTTTTAACGCACAGAAATGGCGAATGTTTGTTTTCCAGCTTCTCAAGTGTGACTACTTTCTTTGTATTTATGGCACTTTTCAGATTGATTCAGTTGCAAATTTGGGAATTTAAAGACCTCATTTTGGGCATTTTTCACCATTTAATGACGTTTAATTAAATAAAAAAGATTAGTATGTGTAATTAGTTGCCCTAATTATGCACATTTTGCAACTAAGTTTAACAATAAAACAATAAGAATAGAAAAATTGGCTGTTGCTTCTTTAGAAAAGGCGTTTGTTAAATTCTATTTTGCGTCGTTATTAGTGCACAGTGGAGAGATGGTAGAATCAGAGGGCAGACAGGAGCAGGATGATGCAACAGAGGCTCTGGGCAAGAAACAGTGTGAGGGTTGGCATTATTTATAGTGCAAATAATTTATACTTAAATGTCTCATGATGTGAAAATTAATAGAAATTACACCGTTATGTGAAATAACCAGCTTAAATGCAAATTGTGCATAATCTTACAATAAATTTATATGCAAATAATATTTTGGTTCCATTGAAGCCGTAGCAGCCGCGGTGCAGCAGCACATCACATTAGCATATAAAGATGATATAAATCGGAGGGGGGGGTATTGTTGTGGGAAAGTGGCGCTGACAGGTAGTTTTTTTTTTTTTTGAGCCAAGATGGAGATTAACCACATCACTCAGCCCTCCCCCAGAAACACCCACACTCACTTCTTTAGTCCTATCTGCCTCTCAGCCACGTGCCTCTCTTGCCCCTCTCTCGGCCACGGAGACACCAGCTATGACCTTGATGAGGAGCGCAGTAAATAAATCGAGGGGCGGAGCTACTCGTCTCCCTGGCAACCAGCCTCTGTTGGGAGCTGGCAGGTCTCTGTTGTGGCCGCCTCCCCGTCGGGGGCCCTGCCAGGTGGATGGCGACGTGCCCAGAACTCTTTACAAACTGAGTCTGCAGTCTGCATCCACCTGATCCGTGCTTCCAGGATCTGTTACTTCACTTCCAAGTGAAAAATACAGGGATCACCCTGTTTGCAGAAGTTGTTAAAAAAAAGAACAAGATTTGTGCTCACCTTTAGTGGCGAAACGAGATGGCATGACCACAATGTTAATTCCACACATCTACCGTGATGATGATGAGGATGATGATGATGATGATGATGATGATGATGATGATAAATACCACTGGATTGTCCGCACAACATCAAATCTAAACATGAGCGTTCAACATGCTGCATAGTTTTATTGAGAAGTGGACGGCGTAAAGTTTTAGTTTTAAGGGAACGACCTGCAAAAGTTGTTAAAGTTGCTCAACTCCAATGAGCACAAGGATAAGATCACCTTGAGAGGTCAGCTCCAGGTTTGACAAATCTGTGCCTTGTCAATCCACCAACATTAAACCTGTCTCATTAGGAGGGATGACATCGGCATCATCATTATCGGTCGATAAAAGCTTTAAAATGAAGTGTTGGCAATGGCCCAAGATGAACAGATAAATGCCTGTCAGGCTGAAAGGATGAGAATAAATCTGAATGTGTCCATTTTAAAAGCACATTTTCAAACCGTATTTTATGTCCGTATGTGTCAGTGGGCCATCAGCCCCAAGAGTTGGCATCATAGTATGTTCATTCTACGACAGGAGCAACCTGATGTCCTGCAAATAGGTGCATGGATCTTCATCAACAGTCAGCCACAATGATTTGGAAAAATATCAGCAAAAATTCAACGTAATTATTCCCTAATCATTAGACCAGTAACCGACTGTAACCTGCTCTTTATCCTGTAGAAACTTTCGGTCACAATCTTCATGATCGGCATGGCTTAAATGTAATTATAGAGTTATACATTAACTTTTTAAACTTGAATCACATTAAGGTAAATCAGATCCTACAAAACTGCACTTTCTTCCATATTTTTTTTTTTACTTTCAATATGCCCCATTTAGACAAGACATACTGGGAGCAACGTTTGTGTTAATAAGATGTGGCTAATAATCTGCGTTGTGAAATAAACAAGAATTTTTTAGCTCTAATTTTTTTGAATAATTCACTGTTATTTTACACATTTTCCCTGTCTTGTTTAATTACAGATAATAGCTGGTAAAATCAGTGGAAAACAGTCATAATTTTCATGTTAACTGTGTTTAAAAAATAAAAAATCAGTGAAAAACAGCATTAATTCCCATGTTAATTGTTTAAAAATAAAGATTTAAATTCAATTAAAAATCTGATCTGTAGTTTTACAAATGCTAATCATTCTTTTGTAATGTGTGACCAAAAAATTGGTGTTTTAATGCATTTATTTAGCTAAAAGTGTCATAATTGTACAGATGTTCGGTGCTGTTTTTACAATTTTAACATTACAGTATTCCACCGTTTAGCGCATCTTTTCTGGCGCCCTTGCTGCCAGATTTTCAGAGTTTTTTCAGTGGATTTGTTTGTGTGTGAGTGACGAGGTAAACGTAGGGTTCATTGTAAAGTTTAGGTGTTTTTATGTATTAGTGTCCCTCATGAAGATGCTGCAAACATTCAGACAGGCTGTTATCTCTCAGGCTGCCTTTCACAAAGCTACAAGTTCACCAAACTCTGAGAAACAACCAAACATTCCTCGTGATGCCTCTTGTCTGGAGTGACTGACAGAATTCACAGCATTTCGGTTGACCACAAGTTTTCTCATGCTCTGGAATTTCAGGCAGCAGCCCCCCGAGCAGCTCTTTTCATCTTTCACTTGCTCAGACGTCTAAACAGAGTGCCACTCACAGCACCGTGGTAATTATTAACATGTCAGTCAGTTTGTTACAGAGAAGAACTGGCCACAAAGTCAAAGACGTAACTTCTGTGTAGAGGCGGTCGATCAGAGGTCTGCGGGCTCCCCGGAGGTCCTTCAGCAGATGTTGGTGACACGACTGCAGACAGTTGGAGGCGAGGTGTTCAGACTGCAGGCTGGACAGCAGCACTGTGAGGGCAGGTGGCCGCGGTGCACGGCGCAGCAGGAGTGAGCACATGAGGTCTTTAAAAAAAAAAACAACACGGGCCCACACACTTTTAATTGCATTAGCAAAATGTTCCGACACAACTGCCCAGAGTTTGACTGCTAAGCGATCTTTTTTAAAACGCAGAAACACCTCTCGCACCTGCACGACATATAGGTTTACCTTCCTGTGGGTGTCAGCAAATCAAACGGGCGCTAAAATATACATGCAGGGAGATACTCGCGCTGTAACTGAACACATTCGGAAAAGAGTGTCTGTGTATTCTTAGAGAGGAGGGACCTTGGTGGGGGGCAGTGTGGTGGATCGATAGTCGGCTAAACAGGGTTTCTGTTATCCATCTGGAGGGCACAGGAAGGATTTGAGCTCCGGCTGGAGTGGAACTGAGCTCCGGCAATACTAGAGCTGGAAGCCGCTCAAACTGGCAAAGGTATACTCTCTGTGGGCAACATTAGCCAGCTCCCCTCGCAAACCCAGTGACCTTGGCAGTCCGCATGCCTCACCGATTTGTTATATAGTCACTTATTCCCGATGAGGAGACCAGAAGAGAGGGATGGGGGGGAGGGAAAAAGAGCAAAGTGGGGCTCGGCTACACATGGAACCAACTTGAAGAGGCCGCTAAGAGAGCAGACTATTGTTTGGACAGGTCTGTAGGGTCCTTCACCGACAAGCCAGTTTTGGCTGCGCGGAAAACATGCCATCAGAAGTTGTCCTCAGCCTCTCAGGGCTCAAGTGTTATGATAGTGTTTGGGCTTGGACTTAGCAGATAGCCGTGTTTACCCAGTGGCAGCGGCATCGTGCTAATTCAGGACACAGCTGCCGTGGATGGTGTCACGTCGCTTTTAGAAACACTCGCTTACGCTGAAATGAAACGTAGTGAAAGTGATAGCAGAGGTGACGGTCTGTGATGAAGCTGATTTTGGCTTCCTTATCTGTTTCTGCTGCTGCTGCTGCTGCTGCTGCTGCTGCGGGTGAAAAACTTCTCATGAATCATGAATCCTGACTAGTGTTTCACTTGGGTGGTATCCATGCTCCTTGGCTAACCCCTCACTGCTCGGCTGAACACAGGCAAACAATGCTGTTTAAGAATGAATTACACGCCCTCGTTGTTGTGGACCTCCAGATCTTAAATCTTGGCCGAGTTAATGGGAAATCCCAACTGGAGCTTTTTACTGTGTTTGAGAAATTTTTATTAGACTGCGGTTTCAGTGCACGTTTCACCAAATATTTTCAGTGCTATTTTTGACAATCTTTACCCTGCTGCAGCCGCTGCACCTCTCACTTTTGGTTTTGCAACTTCCTCTGTATATGTGGACACTTTCCTCCCCGTGCAAAATATTTATCTTTCTAAGAAAAGACCTGCTAGTATTTAAGAGTCCTGAATCATAGTCATACATCAGTGGTGGATGAAGCGGGCAGATTTAGAAGATTCTTTTTAACTTCATTCAATCAGGTAACCGCATCTTTCAAAATCTTTTTTAAAAAAATGAATTTAACAGCTAAAAACTCAAGCTGCTTTCCAGATCATTAGAAGACCAGAATAGTAACTGATTACCTGACTGGCAGAAAGTTAAGGAGCACACAATTTTCAGTTGCTGTTTAACTTGAAATGCCTTAAATGCACTAGTCAGAGCTTGTCAAATGGGAATATTTACCTTTTTGGGAGGAAAAATAAGCTGCGTGAAAACATTTTTATGCTTCTGTGACATTTTACAGACCAGCTGAGTCATCGATAAATCAAGAAAATACTCAAAAACTTAATCGATAATGCAAATAACTGTTGCTCACAATGTGTTGCGGTCCAGTGAAAGCCAAATATCGCCATATTTAGTAGTTAAAATTGTCAAATATTTAAAGTTTCCTTCTTAGGACCTCCTGTTTTTTCGACTTAAACTCTGTTGTTTTGTGTAAACGTTGCTGTTTTTGGGGTACATGATCTTCATGAGGCATTTTAACATCGTAGGTAGTGGTGAAGCACCCTTTTACTATGTGTAACTGTGTTTGAACAGCTCATCCTCTAACATTTTATAACTTGTGCATAAGTTTTATATGTAAAATCTGAATCCGTTTAGTATCTATGTACTAGTATGTTGATTAAATGTGCACAAGTAAAAGCAACAGTTCCTCTGAAATGCAATCGAAGAAGAAATATTGGGTCAAAAAACTGAAAAATTCCACCTCAGAATCCAAGGCTATATGGAGCTTTCTATCGTATGACAGAGTTTGCTTAGTTGTCATGGTTGTATTAGTAACTAAGTGCTTAAAATGCTCAGGGAAAAAAAAATGGAAATTTGAACACGTACATTACCGCGCCAACTGGGGAAGCTCCATCTGCTGATGAAAATCATCTGATACCATCAAAACCTCCTGCTAAATGGACCTTGAGTCGAGATAATTGGGTCAGTTTGCTACAAAGTTAAGACGGAGTCGAGAGTGCTTGAGTGAATTAATGACTTTTCAGCTCTGTAGTACATAAAATAAAAGACTTGAGAATTAACACAGCGTGCCAAGTGGGCCTCTCTCACCGTTTTCTGTTCCAAATAATACAAATACACTCTTTTGAGTCTCTCCACTATCGTACGTAACTCAAGTGGAAACAAAAAAAAAGAAACTCACGTCTTGATCCAGTTGAGGCTTTGGAGATTGGCAGGCAGATTATATACGGCCCGCAGAAGTGAAGCGGCGAGGGAGGAGCCATGCTAATAGCAGCCAGCTGTGCGTCTCTTGCAGGGGGGATATAAGGTCAGAATTACGACATTTGCCAAAGCAAACCTGGCCATCCTCCACCCTCATCACAACCTGGGCAGCAGCTCCAATCTCTCTGGGTTGCATCAAACCATCACCTGGACCCACAAGCTCCTGCGGTTTTAAACTCCCGAGCACGCATGAGAAGCCTCCCCGATGGCGGCGCCTCTCTTTATTAATTTGACTTTAATTCGATCAAGCACACAGTTAATGGGATGACATGCAGGGGAAGATTAATATAAGTGTCACATGGTTTATTGATGAATGAGACTTAAGTTTAACACAGATACAGAGGAAAACCTGATGCCGCTTCCCACTCTCCTATGAATGATTCAGGCCATCCATTGTGTCGCTGTCTTCTCTCTAGATGTGGAGCACAAGGAGGAGGACGGGAGCGATGCAGTCAAGACCGAGGTAAGATTTCTGCTCCGTTGTGTCTTTGTTCTCCGGCTGATGTAACTCTTTAGGTGTCTGTCACACTTGGCAGGGTTGTAGCTTCCCTTTTTTTTTTCTTTTCTTTTTTTGGCGGGGATGATTTACCTTTCCTGTCTCAATCCTCTGCTTGCCAGTGTGGTAGATGGTTGCGGTGCAGACTGAACGGAAACGAAAGTGTATTCTTGAGTAGAGAAGGGGGCAGTAGTTTTAGTAGAAGTACTAAATGCAAGTGGATTCTTCACCGGACTCCTTCATACTGGTATGTTATTAAAGTCAGAGTTTTTACAGCAATATGCTTATTTTGTCTTATTACTTACTCTTGATTGTAGGACACGTGTTGTGATGGGACGGTTGGGAGTGATTCAACATTGAGGGGAGCTGTGCTTATTTGTTTTCTTGCTGAGAGTTCAATAAGAGGATCTGCATATTGCATATAAAGTATGCCTCAGACAGTTAGCTTAGCATAAAGCCTGGAAATAAAAACAAACAGGGTGATGTGGCTCGACTTAGATCAGCCAGCTAATTACTGCATCACTATTACCTGCTTCCAGTTTTTATGCTAAGCTAACCAGGTGTTCCATCTATATATTCATTTGGAGACCAAGCAGCAGCCTCTGGGGCTGAAAAATGAAGCAAATGTGGAAGTGCCAAAAGTGCATTTCCTGGATTGGCCATTGAAGCCCATGTTAAAATGTCCATATTTACAGACTGCTACAAACACGATTTTGATCTCCACAACTTTCATGTTCATGGCAACTCCATTGAGTGTGAATTTTTTTTAAATTTAAATCGTATTAAGGCTTAAAGTTAGGCATAATTAAGGATGTGGCTGCTTTGAGGGACAGGTTGATTAAACAATCCATGGCCCACTTCAGAAAGGCTTTGCACGTTTTGTGATTAAGAGTTAGGGCCAAGTCATGGTTTCCACATGGTGCACAAGGTCCTGTTTGTCCTGCAATAGGTATTGGACTGAGCACTTTTTACAGGACGTAGCAGCTACCTACAGAAAGGACTGTAGCACTGAGATTCTTCCTGAGGTGAGCTGAGAACATGATTTCTGGAGAAGTTCGACTTCCCACCGTGTTTGAGCACCGTCCATCTAAAGCATGTATAAATCAAAACACTTCCAAAGTCCAACAGCGACTACTTTAACTGCAATTCTTTGAATGATAAATCATCAAAGCATTGTATAGTCTCTCCTCATAGCATGCATTTTTATTTTCCTGGCACATATGCAGTCAGTGTGCTTGCAGTATGTAGAGTATGTAGAAACTCTGGGCTGCATTCGGACCTCCACAGAGGAATCTGTCAGAACCCTTGCAGCCATGGATGGATGATGAAATTTATATCATGTACCCTTGCGGACATGTGGATGCACATAAACATGAATTAGTTATAGAATAAGGTAGGTGAGGACCGGAGCCACCACACTGCATTTCCGAATCACTCTGCAGAAACCCTCTAGGCGATGTGACAGCAGATTTGTCCATCTGTATGTGCAGAGTGGAATCTGTCTTCTCTCTGAGCTCTTGGCAAGAAAACAATTTCCCAAAATGTCGAACTATTCCTTTAACATGGCAAACTTTGGTCTTTGTGCACACCTAACAAACAGAATCAGGAAGCTGGCATGTGGATCGTGTTACCTTTAGACAGCCTGTTTTCTAGTTTTATGCTAAGCTAAGCTAATCAGCAGCTCTAGTTGTGTATTCATATAGAGACCAAGCAGCAACCTCCAGGGCTGAAAAGGTGATGCCTAAAACCGCAGTTCCTCCAATGGCCACTTGAGGCTGACCCCAATAGTGAGTTAATCCCTACAGACCCCCATGTTAAAATGTTTTGCTTTACACCAGAAATAAACATATTTACAGTCTGGTTTAAAAAACGGTTTTGGTCTCCATGGCTAATTTCCCTCTTCATGACAATTGTACAGAGTGGGAATTTTTATATCGATCAACTGTTTAAATCATATTAAGACTTAAAGTTGTGCATAACTAGAGGTGCTGCTTTCTCTCATTTCATAATGAACTGACAGATATGAGTGTGATAGAGATGTTCTCTTATCAAAACTGTAGAAAAAAAGTGAGTAAGTGTTCTCTCAATCTTTCTTCTGTGTCTTCATTTTGCCACATCCTCTCCAACAGATGTCTATTAAAAGCTTGTGCTGAAAGTAAACTGTAACTGATGAGCTCAAAGCTTTGCATCGTCACCTGTTTTAGGCTCCAGAAGCACTTCTTTTGCCTTTGGACTCATGAAAGAAATGGTACCTGATGGTGTATAGATTTGAAATATCAAATACACTTGGGAGCTTCCCGCATCAGTTAGCGCTGGCGGCCTTGAGGCTGTTGCCAGGGTGTTTGTGATTAGACACTGTGGCATCACTTCTTGCTGCCTGGCCAATCACAAGCTAATCATACCATATGGCACACCAACATGTGAGTCATCATCTTTTTAGAATTCAGACAACCCCATCGCCTCAACCGCCTCAATTACCCACTTGTTAACTGGAGTCTGTCTCACAGGCTCCAGTGACAGATTGGATGCACAGTTTTCCTACAAATCCGAATGCTTCCTAATGAAAGAAACTCTCATAGGAAGAATCGAAAACAAATAGCTAACTTTTTTTTTTTTTTTTTGACACCTTAAACAGGGAGGTCGAGGCAGGCTGCGAGGGGGAGTTGGTTGGGAGATCAGCCTTCGTCAGAGGCCCATGCCCAGAATAACCTTCCAGGCTGGTGACCCTTATTACATTAGCAAGCGGACCAGAGAGGAGTGGCTGGCCAAGTGGAAGATGGAGGTGAGTACCCCAGCTCTGTCCCAGCCACCACAGACAGCAGGGCGAGCGGCAGGCGTCGACTTAAAGCTGCCAGGGCCAAAGATAGGGCTCGTGGCGCATTCACGGCCAAGTGTATTTGATGGGTCATTTGATATCTCATGAAGGTACCATTTATTTCAGTGGATTTCCAGGGCCATTGGCTCGGTCGGCTGCTGCCTTTTCCTGGCTTTGTTCTTTGACTGTTGTATAAGCGAAGGAGAAATCACACGCAGCTGTGTTCATCACATGTGTTTGATGCCTTGACATGATTCATGCTTCCTGCATGGAAATGTTGCAGTAAATTTAGATTTGCTTCAATCTGACTGCTTTTGATGTCTTGACGCTGAAGTGAAATGAATCGAGATTAAAGGGGTCAGCTTATGCAAATACGTACAAAAGAATATTTTCTCTTTTGGTTTGCTTTGTTTTGCTTTTTGGTATTTTTACACACCAGGAAGTATCAGAGAGAGATGGGTATAACATTCAACACTACTCCTGAACCTTGCACTTACATGGCATGTGCCTTAATCTTTTTTTTTTTTAACATTTGAAAAAACTTAAACATTTTTTTTTGCAGAGGGAATAAAAAACAAACCCCATTTTAATCTAATTAGACTTTGCAGATGTTTAAATAAAAACACGCCTATGTTTAAAAAAAAGTGAAGAAAGTGTAGATTAAGTCAAATCCAGCAAAGAGCGAGAGTTTGAAATCTTATCAGGAGCCAAATATTGCACAGACGAGTTTATAATTTCATGATGGATTGTACTGCTCTGGAAAGTTTATCGCAACGGCACTCATTCATCAGTTGCGAGGTTAATGGCATAAATACAGCAGTCATGTTATAAAGTAATCAACCAGGAATGTGTGCTTGTACTTGAAGTGGCCAATGCTGGATAATGTTGCATTGTGGTCCAGTTTTTCCCATCTGCACTGGAACCCCTGCTGCCGCAATCTTAACTTGGATAGAAAACGCTTTTGGGAAAAAGAGTAGCGCAGTTTTACGTTAGAGTTCATTCTTTAGCTTGTATATTTTATCAAATCTGGTGAATTAAAGGCTCCAGAGCTGCTGTGGTGAGATAGTTTCACATGAGTGCACTTAATATCAATTTTACAGGCAACAGCAATGAGGGAA